CCCCAAAACCCCAAAACCCCAAAACCCCAGTATCAGGGGTATAATTAAAGGAGTTTCATTGAAGAAAAGTTATTGCAAATGGAATATTTTAAAGAATAGGCTGAAGAGCTTAAGAAAGCTTATGATACTATGGATGAAAAAGACCCTGTTCTTGTCTAAATCTTAGCCTTGATTGGAGCTGGCTATGCTGGATACAGACTCCTCCAGGATATCAGAGGGATGCTCAGATAAACAGTCAGACCGTCTTATGACCTCAAGAAAAGATATGGCTCAAACTGGTGTGTCGTCACAGGAGCTACTGACGGAATCGGTAAAGGATTCGCATTTGAACTTGCCAGAAGAGGCATGAAAGTTGTTTTGGTAGCTAGGAACGAAGAGAAGCTTCAAGCTGTAGCAAAAGAGATTAAGGAGACTTATGAAGGAGCGGAGACAAAGACTATTGTGTTTGATTTTAATCAAAATTACACGAGTGAAGTTATCAAAGAACTAACAGAAAAATTTGATGAAATAGAGAAGTGATCAATTCTTGTTAACAATGTTGGAGTCGCAGAGGCAAAAATTTTCGAGAGATGAATGATACAAAGATATATAATATGATTAACATCAATGTAACTGCAACTGCAGTGATAACCAAGATCTTTATCCCAAAATTATTAGCTAATGAGACTAGGGCTGGAATGGTTATTGTTAGAGGATATCTTTGTAACTTCCCTTGCCCCACTATGTCTGTTTACAGCGCAACTAAAGCTTATGTTACTCAGTTTTCTCCATCTAAAAGAGAAGAATACAAACATAAGATTGATGTCCTACTCATAAACACGGGATCAGTGAAAAACAATATGAACATTGAAAGACAACTTTGCACAATTATTCCTTCACAATATGCTAAAACTGTTCTTGACAAACTAGGGTATGATTCATGGACTTCAGGCCATTATATGCATGCTATTCGCCAATGCTACCTCCACAAGCCAATAGAAGGTGCTATTATTAAGTATATCAACAACAGAAGACACCAGCAATGCTTCAGAGAAAGAGAACCAACAGAAACGATTAAAAAGTTAAAAGCATCAGCAAAACCCAAATCCCAACCCCAAATCCCCTCTAAACTAACAACCTCTATCAATTTCTGACCACCAAAAGGGGTTTTGGGGTTTTGGGGTTTTGGGG